CCCAAACCTTGAAAACCTTAAAAAGTATATGCACTCCGAGCAAAATTCGGTCAACCTGATCTATTGTTGATTTTAGGGCTCGGAATGCGATGCACTTCAAAATCGAAAACATGCGCATATAATACGCACTAAAAATTCAAAAATATGCGCTGTAAACAAGTAAAATATGCAATGAAAAATACGAATATTGTATTTCCGGTACACAATCTAAATAACATGCATTTTAACAAGAAAAGAACGAAAACAATCTATTTAAAAATACAATACATAGAAACCATGATGATTCCACAACTTGTGCGCTCTACAGCCATTTGGCGGCTTAATGAAATTTAGTACGTCATACAGAGAGAGACATCTGCACTCTAAAACATTCTACAGGAGGGCTGGACACTCGAACAGGAGGTGTTCGACTGTCTCTATTGAGCCAGGGTCATCGCAACTACGACAGAGTCTCTTGAAGGGCAATCCAATCCTTTCGAGATGTGCCATGTGCACGCTGCAGTAAGTTTGTAGGTATCTTCTTTGCTCATCCCTAAGAGAGGTTTGGGTTAACGTGGGTCGCAGAAAGGGCACCCATAACTGCTGGATAATCCTGTACGATCCTGTACGGTACCACCTCTGATTTTCCTTCGAGTGATTTCGGTAATTTTTGCTTTTACTTCCCTGAGCGAGGTGCCCATGTCCGTGGGACACATTCAGTGCGGAGCTGCACCTTTCTAGTTCGTCCGTTGCCTCGTTTCCGTAAATGTCCCTATGTCTCAGGCCCCATATTATGGCAATTTCGTATTGATAAGAGATATAGGCCAGCTCTCTCCTACAGTCTTCCACTAGTTATAACACAGATCTAACAGATGTAAAAGAGAGTGGCTGCTTGGCTATCCGTGAAGATATTCAGATAAATATTTGTGAAAAAATTATAAGGAATTTTTTTCGTCAAGAGATTTCCCACTAAATTTCAATGGCTGTAAATCAGAAAAAGTAAAAATATATATTTATTGTGAAATATGCAAAAATATGCGCAATAAATATGCAAAAACAGGAACTTTTTGCAAAATATGCAAAACCATGCATTTACTGCAAAATATGCAGAAACGATTGAATGCATTTTTAAAGGAAATTTCTTGATTCCTAAAGATAACTTAAACATCTCGATTTGAAGATGCCAAATAAACCATGCATTTGCATGAAACTCCGAGCCCTACTCATTACCATGTTTGATGTGCATGTAAACAAATGTTTCACGGATTTTGTCCTACTTCAAAAATTTTCAAGACGTTGCTTAAGATACCTTGGGTATGATATATGTGGGCGGTGCCACACCCAAATACCCATTCTTGCTAAAAAGCCATTGCGTATATCAAATTTGAGTGAATATTGATGAATTCCTGGCACATGCACAGATATAAATTTCTTAACTTCGACAATTTGTATGCAATTGCAAAAGGTGAGGTTCATTCACTCATTCATTCATTCGAAAGTAAATGTGCTTTTAGATAAATACTACATACTTGGAAACTTTCATAGAAATTTTTTAAATTAACCACACCTATCCTCAATCAAAAAGAAGTTAAACGAAAATGCCTAATGAAATGGTTTACCGCATCTTATTCCAGCTATTTCATAGTTTAAAAATCCGTTGCGAAGGAAATTCTACCTGATCGTTTAGCAGTTTTTTCAACAATTACTTTTTTCGATCTTAAAATATTTTTTCGGACCCAAGTAACAATATCCTTTTTAAGTAACTTTTTTCGTCTTACGTAAATTTTGTATGTACACGTAAGTCTTAGTAGTAAAACAACGGAAAAAGTGAGTTTGAGAAGTAAACACGACGAAAATCGGTCAAAAATGTGTGCCCGTTGTGAAAAAAAATTGTTTCTAGCAATCATCAAATTAGTAATGCCATCAGCGAGAAATATGAGAATCTTATAAAAAAAGCATGTAAATGCAAACTTTGAAGTGTCTGAACATGTCGTCGTACTTTAAAACACTTATGGAAATTAAAAAAATGATCATGAGCAGTTTTTACTTGGAGGTGATAATAAGAAACTGGCAATGGAAAATCACTCAGCTCTCCTCCAAGAAGATGATAATGTACTTGTTATTAAAAAATGTCCAATTCCTGAATTACATGTTTTACAAGGAACGGATTAGTTCCGCCACTTACAAAAGCAACTTCTGCAAAATTCAGATGCGCTAGATGATCCAGAAATTTATTCAAATGTAGGCAAATTTTCACTTACACCTTTCATTTATGCTTTCAAAGCTATGAACGAAGTTGTGGATTTTTGTTGTTCTATGTCACCACCCGGCCAGGATTTAGACAAATTCATTAAAGAATTGAAAAAGGCTTATGCCAGTACAAAAGTTTCTGTGACATTGAAAATTCACGTAATTTTTGAACATCTTGAGCATTCCTTGCATTTTTTGGATGGCGAGGAATTTTGATTGTGGTCGGAGCAGCCAGGTGAATCAGTTCATCGAGACTTCTTAAACGTTTGGAACCGCTACAAAATCAACGTGAAAGAAGAACCAAGAAAGATTAAGAAGAATGGTCGTAGAATACTCCTCCATGCATATTTAAAATTTACATTGTATATTAAAATATACAATATTTAGTTAAAATAAATTTTTTGGTTCAAACCACTTTTTATTATTCTTGTATCATTTTATTATTCTTGTATCATTTTATAGTAATTATCAGTTATTTTTCAATTCCATAACTATTTTTTCGTAATTATAAAATACATTGTTACATTAAATTTCTTCCAAAAGCCTACAGTAACCTGGCTTTCCTGCGTAGATATGCGAAAGACTTTAAGGATCCATACACCAGGAAAGCTTTATTTATCTCTTTAGTACGATCAAAACTAGAGTACGCTTCTATTATATGGAACCCCATTTACGGCTGTCATGCCGCCAGACTTGAAAGAGTGCAGAGAAAATTTGTTCGTTTTGCGTTAAGTTCCCTTAACTTTGATGACCCGATGCCCTCATATTTTTCCTGTTGTAAACTTATTCACCTACAAACTCTTGAAACTAGAAGAATTGTCCAGTTGCTCATGTTCATTTTTGATTTGGTTTTTTGGCTCTTTGGATTGTTCGGTCCTTCTGGAGAAGATATCCTTTAATGTGCCTCACAGATTTCTACGCTCATCTCTGCCGTTTTACTTGCGTGCTACTAAGGCTAACTATTACCATTTTGATCCGATTTTCCGCGCTCTGACAGAATTTAACAAGATCTCAAAGAGTCTAAATATTGATTTTTCGTTGCCGAGAAATATTTTCAAATCATCTATTGATTCATTTTTCTTATAACTACTTGTGTATCTAAATCTATAGTATTTAGTGTTAATTATGATAGTCTTATTTTTATCTAGTCTGTAAGATTGTAATCATAGACTAAATAAACTGAATAAACTAAAAACTAAAACTAAACTAAAAAAAAAACTAAATTAACAAAAAAATAAAGATAAAAAAGTAATTAAAAATATTTATAGATCGAAAAAAGTAATTGTTGAAAAAAAACTACCAAACGATCAGCTAAGATTGCATTCGGAATGGATTTTGAAATCATGAAATAGCTGGAATAAGATCCAGGGAACCGTTTTATTAGGCATTTTCATTCAACTTCCTTTGGATTGAGGATAGGTGTGTAACGATGGTAGAAGTTAAAGAATTTAAGAAAAATTGGGGTTTTTTAAATTTTACTCGATCAAAACTCCCAACAAACTAATTCCAAATCTATATTGTAATACGTCATTTTAAAGGTTTTCAAATTATGTTTCTGTTAATAGATAAGTACACCAAGTAAGGGCACATTTTTTATTCTAACACAATTTCTATTTTTTTCTCTTACATCAATGAAAACAAAAAATTCCAAAACTAACTACATATCAATGGTCCTCTGCAATAAGGACACAACTCAAAATTTCATCTATTTCAATTCCGGATTATTTGCAGTCATTCTGTAAGGAAAATCTTTAATTTTTCAAATTATGACTTTTTCTAAAGATTTAGTAAGTGTTGGACTGAAAAAATACGAAATAAGTAACAACTCGTAAGAAGTTAAACGAAAGAAATTCCATTTGTATTGCTAAACAACGGCACAAAACGAAAAGTGTCGTTCTTTTCCATAAAAAATTACAAAGTGTCTTATTGAAACTATGAAATGAACAACGGCACAATAAGAAAAGTGTCGTTATTTCACATAAAAGCATGACTAACCTAACGAGAGTTTTTGACTTGTGCAAATATTCACGATAAATGTGAGACATGTGCCACTTTTTAGTAGTAAGGGTTGGCTACTTCGGTTTTGTCACAAATGGCGAAACTGCGCCTCTTCCGGATTACTAACAACTAAGCCTATGTCGATTTCCCACAGAAAAATATGGTTATTTATAAACCTAATCCGCTATATAACTCAAAAACATGAAATTTTGAGTTGTGTCGTTATTGCAGAGGACCATCGATATGTATACATATTCATTGTTTTAATTAAAGAGAGTTGCGCAATATCATAAAAATGTCGTTTATTGTTGGGTCTCCATATATTTTATACTCGAAAAACTTCAGACAAATCTTTCCTATAACAAATTTATATGAAGAAAACTAAATACAAAAATTTCGCTTTCTCCCTCAATATAAAAAATCAATATTTTAAAAGTTGTGGGGAAATTGTATTCCACAGTGTACTACACGGTGGCGATAATTTCTTCGCTATGTCTTTTTGGCAGAACACTGAAAATGGCACAGCGCCGAAACCAGTTTGTCTCCAAACCACATTTGACAATGCATGACGAAAAGTAGTTCCACAAGACATCATACTCCTATCCTGTTGGAAACACTATCGGCCAAAATGAGAATCTGTAAATAACTTTTTTTTTACTAAAATATGTTTGAATAATGTGTATATTAGAATCGTTTAATAGGGCCGTCAAAAGCAGTCTTGGATTTTAACATTATTTATTCATCGTTGTATTTTTTCTTAAATCTCGTTACAGCAAGGAAGTGACGTATCCGGCTTTGATTCTTTCTAACCCCCTCTAGCTGAAGGCTGCAGTAGAAATGGTGTAAGCGTCCATTTAAGGACGCTTATATTTATCTAGGCTTAAGTATTTATTTATATACAAACACATATATGTATGTACACACTTAGGGCCGGTTGTTATGTCTGGTTATCACTGCCTCCAAGTTAAACATGATTTTCGACGTCTTCCACATCATGCATATAACATGTGATCGATAAAGCAGTCGTTGTATTTAACCGGAGCTCTACCTCCGATTTGTGTTAACCGGAAATTGAACAACCGGCCCTTAGACTCATAAGTTTATATGTTACTAGTTGCATAAATATGCAGTTAAAAAAAAATTGGGCTATGTCCCAAGCTAAAAAATGTACATATGGGGCGATTCACGTCGAATGTCCTAAGAGCGCTGAGCGGTGCAAAAAAGCTACTTTTTAAATACTTAGCTGGGAAGCAGACAGAAAATGAGAAACAAATTTCTAAACTTTGATTCCTGTAGATTTTTGTACGGGCTATCCGATTGTGCTATGCATTTTCGAAAATTTTCTCATTTTCATGGTGAAAATTTGATACGGAAACTTATTTGTAATCTTTCTCAATGATGGTAATTTTAATATTGTCTTTAGTCATCTTAGTCGAAAGATCAGGGACTTTTATATTTATCCGAGTTATTAAGCATTTAAGAGGGCGCCAAACCGTTAACCGTGCGCATCACAATAATATTGTTATAACTTGGGAACTAAATGCTTGATGTTTGAATCTGAAATTTTGAAAAACTTCCTTACATATTAATCTAAAATACTATATTAAAACTAGGGATGTGCCGAGTATGCGGTAGATATCCGGAATCCGGCTTATCCGGCCGTTTTTCTGTTTTCCGACAATCCGTCCGGTACTGGCTAAAAGATTTCGATTATAGAAGTTTCAATTATTATTATTTAGTAATTAAAGTTAACAATGTTTATATTTTTCGTTGTGAAAACTAATTTGGAAATTCTTTGCCACTGGGTATAACTACATATTTATGTATAAAGGGTAGCTTTAAATATTTCTCCACTTCTAAATTGCTGTCATTTGCTTGTACGGTCGTTGCCTTTTCCACCCATCGTTTGGCTAACTACATCACTACAAAAACTACAAAAAGCATCAGAGCCGTTGGCGATTTTCAAAAGCATTGGCAAATATCTTGGTGAGATCACTCTTCAATAGAAGCTTCCACTGGAGTTCGGCCTTTTTCACATAATTCAACTGGTTTCTGCATGCTTAGTGATTTATAGTTTCGAATTAGTTCATCATCAACCCAATTTTTAGCTTTATGGATGTCAGAAAAAAATTGGTTTTGAAACGTGGGTCACAAAATATTGCAACAATTACTACGTTAATGCGACAGAATTCATGAATTCTTCATTTTATAAATTCAAAAATGGTCCCGTTTATGCATAGTTCGCGAATTCATGAAATAAAGTGATTTGAAAAAGTGGCAACGCACTGGCGGGAAACTAAATAGTAGGGTTGTGATTTTTTCGCCTCCTTTTGAATTTGCAAAAGCCGTTGGTGCCAGGCAATGAACCTTATTGTATTTAAATTGGTTTTAATACATTTTCAGTTTATTCTATTTGAATTTATTTTATACTTGAACAATTCCACATAACTTTTCGGTGTTTAAAATCCTGGTTATGCCACTCATGGTTATTACTCTAAAAACATCATAACCCTAGTGAACAGCTGTTTGTGAAACGTGGCGTTGCCGGACTTGCACTTCACGATTTCATCAAATGATGCCGAATTCATAGTTAACTTTCGTGTATAACTGAATTCATGAAATGGTGTTTATGCAGCCAATTTTAACCCAAATTCATGAAATGAATGGTTGCAGAGGGAAAAGTGTTCTTTTTAATATAGAATTACTTTATAACGTGGATTTCTGGGGAGACATTTTGAATTTTTAATTACGCATTGGATAGTTCAGCTCGAAAAAGCAGATAATATGTCGCTAAAAATTACCATAATTGAGAAAATATGTAAATAAATTTTCGCTTCCAAGTTTCACCGTGAAAATGAGAAAATGTTTGAAAACGCGTAGCACCATCGGATAGCTTGTACAAAAATCTATAGAAATCGTAGTTTTCTAGGTTTTCCCCCATTTTCTGTCTGCTTCCCAACTAGCCGAATAGTACCTTGTTTTGCACCGCCCAGCGTGCCTGCGACATTTGACGTCAATCGCCCCATATACATAAATATGTAAGCCATAAAAAAATATTTTTGCATTTATTTACCTGCCACAAAATCTGCATTAATTCGCTGTATATAAATATGTAGAAACCAACTCGTATATATGTCATTTATAAATAACTAGTGTATGTATAAGAAAGTTTACAGCAGAGTATGCGGAATATTTTCATTAAAACAAACACATGATTTATAGTACAGCCCGATATGGTGGCGAAACACACCATGTTGATAATTTGCAATTTGTTGAAACTTTTTCATGTATAAATTTACCGCCCACTTCAGTGTTATCTTGATAAGTTATTTGTAAAAAAATTTGATCAAGTAAAAGCTCCTTTCGCATTCTGTGTCAATATTTATAAAATCAAAAGGTCTACGATTTCAACATGAGGTGAAATAATTTTCCTGTCATATATAAAAATATGAATTTAAAAGCAAAAAAGCTTGTGACTGCCGTAGCCTAGTTAACAGATATGTCGGCTATAATTTCGAGTTATTAAGCATTTAAGAGCGCGCTAAACCATTAACCTTGCGCGTCACAATAATATTGTTATATATTTGGAACTAAATACTTGATGTTTGGATCTGAAATTTTGCAAAAACTTCCTTACATATTAATTTACAATACTGTATTAAAACTAGGGATGTGCCGAGTATCCGGTAGATATCCGGAATCCAGCTTATCCGGCCGTTTTTCTGTTTTCCGACTATCCGTCCGGTACTGGCTAAAATCAGCCTGGATTCCCAGATTTCGATTATAGAAGTTTCAATTTAAAAATCTAATTCACAATTAATTGTTTTACTATTATTATTTAGTAATTAAATGTAACAATTTTTATATTTTTCGTTATGAAAACTAGTTTGGAAATTCTTTGCAACTGGGTATAACTACATATTTATGTATAAGGGGTAGCTTTAAATATTTCACCACTTCTAAAGTACTGTCTTTTTTCTTGTTCGGTCGTTGCCTTTTCCACCCATCGTTTGGCTATCTACATCACTACAAAAACTGGAATCAGCATCAGAGCCTTTGGCGATTTTCTCAAAGCATTGGCAAATATCGTGGTGAGATCACACTTCAATAGAAGCTTCCACTAGAGTTCGGCCTTTTTCACATAATTCAACTGGTTTCTCCATGCTAACTGATTTATATTTGCGAATTAGTTCATCATCAACCCAATTTTTAGTTATGGATGTCAGAAAAAAACGGGTTTTGAAACGTGGGTCACAAAATATTGCAACAATGAAGCATTACTGGACGATACGGGAAGCGGGACGATATGTTAACATGCCTAATACATAGTTCAATTTTCATCACGTTTTTTAATATATATACATCATCACATGAAAAGTATCTATGATCGATATTTTTTTTAAGATTTTTACTAACTTCAAACTGGCACTTTGTTATACTAAAATGCCAATGCAAATTTATTGAATTTTTCTGAGTTTTGCACGAAGTTAAGATATTTTTGTATTTTTTTGTTGTAGTATGAACAATATATGTATTTATAAAAAATTCGCGGAAAATTTTAAGTAAAAAATGTTCCATACATTGTAGAAAATTACCTGTGCCAATTGTTTAGAGCGGCACTGTACATATGTATGTACCAGACAACAGCATGAGTATACTCACTTCCATCTAAACAGTATGAACTCATTGCTGTGAACTCTATAAGGTTAGTGAGAAACACCGTACAAACAGTGAGATTCATAGTTAGTTTTGAAATCAATGTTTAGCTGCAGTGTACTCATTTGATTTCAAATATGGCATTGATATACTCTTTCCAAATCAAGTCAAGCGAGTGAAAAATGCTGTTATGAAAAGCAAGCAATCGAATGACACCCATTGACTTCAAACAATTAGTAGAGAATACGACAATTTTGAAAAAATTGATATTGATGAAGTATTTTTTTAAATATATTAGTTTTACCAGAGTTGTGAAAAATGCATTAATTTTTTAATGCATTAATGGTATTTAAAGCAATAATGTTGATGTAAAAAATTAATGAATTAATTTATGAAATTTAATGCAAATGAATATTTCAATGCATTAATTCTGAAAAATGTAATGCTAATGATTTTTTTTTTTTTTATTAAATTATCCAAGCTAATGCTAAGCAAAAAATTTTAATGCACTAAAATGTTTAATACTTTTGCTCGTTTGCATTATTAAAAACCATTAAATTTTTTTTCTAGTAAAATATAAATAACCTCTTTTGGAAGGACTTGGAATAATCGTTTTTTCAGGTTCATTATATTATGTGTATTTGTAGAAAAATTCTTCTAAACATTCTTAGATGTTTTATGTATGAAAATGAAAGCCAATGTGCATGCAACGCAGAATGCTTTTGTAGATTTTTATGTTGATTGTTGATGCATACCGATTACATATATTAAGTGTGAGCCAAAAACGGACAGATAGTCAGTTTAGCAGCGCATGTACACGACTGAGGACCTACTCTGATCTAAATCAATCAATAAATCATTTTTTAGCTCCATTTGACAATGGGATTTTACCTATTTAACGACAAATGCCATTGAACTTGACATAGTGAAAACCAGCCTTAACGTCCGTCACTATCTTTTTTGACCTTAAAATTCTACCCTCAACGTCAGCAAAGAATTTTTACTTTAAAATAAAATTAGTTAATGGGTTTTTAATGCTTGTTATAATTTTAATGGAATAAATTATTGCAATAGCATTCATTTAAACATTTTAATGTTAATGCAAACAAAAAATCATTAGCATTATTTCTTCGGAATTATTGTATTGAAATTTTCATTTACATTAAATATCAAAAATTAATGCATAAATCTTTTTCATTTACATTGAAATGTTATGCATTAAAAAGTTTAATGCATTTTTCACAACTCTGAGTTTTACTAAATTATTTAGTTATGCACCTGACGTACATTTATATAACTAGTCTACAAAAGAAATGCAATGTTACCTCAGAAGACATCGGCTTTATAAGGGACTTGAAAAATAAGTTACTTTATTAGTTAAAAACAGTTGCTGTATGTTGCAGATTTGCACAAAATTGTGCTTTTTTTATACCCGCCAGCAAAAGAGCTCAAAAACTTTACCGAATCTGAGCAAAGGTACACAAATGGGAAATGTTTACAAATTATGAGAACGTTAACTGAGAATTCTGACAGTACAACGGAACCACAAATTGCGGATACACCATTATTATTTTCAGACAACTTTGAGCTGTTTTCAGGTCTTCTTAAACAACCTACCTTTGTGAGCAGAAGTGATAAAGCTACTGCAGAGCTGCGGCGATATGAAAATATTGAGGTACATTTTCATACGGACTTCGATATAATTAATTGATGGGAGGTACACAAATGCGAAATGCCGCTGCTGCATAAACTCAGTCGTAGAGTAATAGCCACTCCTTCAACTAGCGCATCGTCAGAAACAATTTTTTCTTCTGCTGGAAATGTTATTTCTGACAAAAGGTGCCAAATCAGTTGATATTTTTGCATTATAATATGCAGTTAGGAAACCAATAAAATTAACAAAAATTGTCTTTACAAATGTTTTTTCTTTGATACTTTCATTACAGCAGTTATGCCATGCACTTGTTTTTCAAATCAAGCACTTGTTATTTGAATCGAGCACTTGATAGTGTGAAATACTCACTCAACCGACAATGTTTTTTCAATGCTATCGCACGTTATGTTTGGAAATAAATGAGTGCGGGTGTGTGCAGATGTGAAAAGAAAGCGAGTGACTTAAAATGTAATTTGAGTGTATCCATGCAGCTCTCTGGTATGTACATACATATACATATAAAATATATAATTTGGTGTGCTTTTTATTTCAGTAAAGTTAGTTAGTAAATGTTTTAAGCAATTTAGAAATATTATCATTGAAGCTTCGTTTTATGACAATTTTTATATTTGAAATTTAACTTCCTTGTGTTTTTTTCTTTATTATTTATGGCCTCATAACAATTATATTAATAAATTTTATTGAGCTCAACGCCGTTATTAATGAAATTTTCTTGTGGAAAAACAACAGCAATTTACATTTTGATAGAAGGTATAGCTGCTATTTCGGCCGTCGTGACTGCGATATGAATCAGCGCCCTCGGGTTACAAAGCCAATGGTTTACCATTTGAGCTAAGTGGGCCACGTAAACTCTTGTTGCTTTTTCC